TCATAGTTTAAATGTCAAATTTTGTAAATTGACTAAGACATAAGAATAACAACGTATCAAAAAATAGAGAAGACGAAAAGAAGGGAAATTTCTTTAGATAATGGTCCAATGACTCTCATATAGTCTTATATGAAAGAAATCTGTATAAATTATTATATTATTAAAAGAATTTATGTATACTATGGAGAGAGGGGTAGAAGAAGAAAATAAAGGACAAAAGAGCTGGCGTTTTGCTTTTATGTTGGCACATATGATGTCGTTTTGGTAGTAGGAGGGGCACAAAATGACGTTGGTTTATAGAATAAGGGAGGAGAAAAAAACGTTTTGGGCCGTATCTGATCCATGTCCTCTAGGTCAAGCCCAAAAGTGTTGGGGAAAATTCAAAAATTATTTTTGCAAGGAAGATTTTTTGTAATAAATACAAAAAAATTGTCTAAAATAAATATATAATAAGTAAAATATTTAATAAATTACAAATTGTATCATGATATTTATTTTCTTGCATAACTGGGGCATTTAATTTTAATCATGCAAGTAAATTGAATCATCCAATGATGAAATTTTAAGTTGTAAATGATAATTTTCTTGAAAATTTTTAGGTGAGAAAATATTTTAAAATTATATTAAAAGTGTTGGAGGCTTTTGAAAAAATTTCAACATGAGGAATTTTCATCTTTTTTTGAAAAAATTAAAATGAAAAAAATAAAGAAATGGAATTCTAAAAAATAGATGAAAATCCTCCAATAATGGAATTCTAAAAAATTTGTGAGTCATAGTTTCTTGAAAATTTCTAGATAAGTAAATTTTCTAAACTTCTTCCAAAAGCTTTGGAATATATCTCAAATTATTATTAGTAAAAAATAGAATCAATAAAAAAGTATTGAAAAATAAGAAAAAAGATTTGATTATGTGATACTCTATATATAGAATCGTGTTATGACTTACGATATAAAAGGCTTAAAGGGAAAATACTGTCTCTCCTTGTCTTAGGTCTACGCAATCAAGGACATAAAACTGACCCTCAATATGGCAAAAGGCAATTTAATGCAAGTTGGTTGATTATGCTTATTGAATACTATAGATGATGTTATTATTATACTACCATTATGCTTAGTTAGATGCTTAAATAGACTCAGGTGCCATGAATAATATTTTAAAAGTATTGCTAGTTAAGAACAATTTACTTTAAGAAAGACTTCAATATATATATATATATAAATATAAAAGAAAACAGATAGATAAAAATTAGTTAATATTTAATTTAATAGGAATTATTTATTTTTATATAATAATTATTATTACAATAATTTAGTTGATATTTAATATAATAAAAAATTATCAATGAAGGAAAGTTTATTTTAAAAGGGACCTTTTTGAATGTTAATAAGAAAATAAAT